ATATCATAGAACCAACTTGTACAGTTGAAACGGCTGACAAAATTCTTTTATTCCCTTAATATGAATACTCATAAGGCTAACATGAGAAAATCCAGAGCCAAAGCTACTGGGGCCGATCCTAAAAGTGTTTTTGAGGTAAGAATATGTCTATATATTAATCGGGAATGTCAGCTATCATCACACCAAATTTCAACCTTATCGGTTTAGTATTTATTTAAGTGTATTTGTCACATGCAAAAGAGATAATGTTGGTTCTTTGAAAATGCCAAATGGTATCACTCCTACCATTTAATTCAGAAACAAAATATAACTGTATAACTTAACTCGATAATAGTACGTTTTGGTTAACTAATACCGTTCATACTTATTTAGGCTACCTACGATACAAAACCAATGATAGATTTTAAGGTACAGTAAAGGGACGTGTTTAATGGTTTGCACTGTAAACAAAAAAAACAACACAACAATTACAAACCGAAAAATAGAAAAAAATGGAAAATATAAATAAATATGGAAAATAGGGTAATTTTATACAACAATATTTTAGTGAAATTATAATCAGGAAAATGGAAATTCACTCAGTCCATAGACTTGCTGCGGCAGGGGGATTATATTGCTGTTTACATCCATGAATATTATTATATTCATGAATGATTTATTTTACAACGATTTATTCCCTGTAAAATATTATTACAGCATTTCACAAATATTAGTACAAACTCAGAATAATAGATCATAAATATAAACAAATGGAGTAACTGAAAGAATCATAAACTAAAGAAATTACATTAACATATGGTTTGACAGCTCCATTTAAGTAATGTTAAATAATGTTTACATTCGGGCTAGTGACATCATTATTTAAAATTTATTATCCTTACCCTCTCTGTTCTAATATTCGTGCAGTATTTAATATGTTTGAAGCAGCTGTGTGGAATTGTGAAATCAAAATTCATTTGACAGTTAGTTCTGCTTGTTTACATTTTTAAACTTTGCAGGTTTGTTTTTTGTTACCATGGATACCATAAATTAATATTTACTTTTAAATCTCTCACCTCAAATTTTTGAAAGCCCACGGGGCAGAGCCCTAGGACAATATCGAAGCGGGAATAGTTCTATATGTATCCTCGGAGCTGTAGCTTCATTTGTGTACAATTTGAGCCCAGTAGGTTCAGTAGTTTTTGAGATTAGCGCATACAAACACACAGACACCACCTCTTCTTTATAATAGTATATAGATATCTATATATATCTATATAGATATATAAAAATTTGAACGAATGTTGTTTTTGGCCTCTGGGGACATCAAAATGAAAAAGTAAATCGGTCCCGGGCTTAGGTCTTACCATGAGACCTACGGTAATAGCTACTTCCCTATAGGGAAATTCGCTAAAATGCACATTTAATTTGGATCTATTACATGTTATGAAATATCTATTTTCTTAGTCCGCCATTTGTTTCTTTTATTCGAATAAATACCATTTTGTGAACTTCTGCAAATAAAATTATTGAGTTCGTATTTTATATATTGGGCTTGTAACCTTAAATCATAATAAAATTTACACGTTAAACGTCATTACAGAATTACATTGTAGTGGTAATGTATTTTTAAATAGAGCTATTGAATTTAAATAAATATTTATCAATACATTATAAAGTGGTAGGCCTAATTTATTCATAGATTGCATTAAAAGTTAGTCTATGCATAAATACAACTTGAAAATTTCTTTTATCGTAGGCTATTAGTGTAGAACCCGGGTCATCCTCTTAATTTTGTTGAATTAATATTAATTTTACGTCTTTCAGTAGGCCTACTTTTTAAAAGTCTGGAGTTTTTCTCCAGGCTGGTTCTAAATGGACCCAGGCGTTCTTGTTTGTTACAATTCTTATGAATGGTGGCCATAGCTAAAATTACTTGATCTTATCCAAAAACAAAGCTATTGTCTATTGTGTAGCTCAGTACTGGGGAACGGTGAACCGAGCAATGGCTTGGTATAGTTTATATCGATTGAGAAAGCAATATAAAGGAAACCCAACACTCAAATCAGGAAAATCCGTCAATTCGTTTATTAAGAATCGTGAATTAAAATAACCCTGTCACGTTTTATTATTTGAATATTATATCTTCTCCTATTTTTTACTAGTGGTGCTTAGGTGTACAATCTAAAATCGGTTTTAAAACATGTAACATTATTGCTAAAAAATTCAACACATTTAAGAATTAGGCAACTAACTTATTTACTAGTAGGCCTACAATGCTTTTGTTCAAACTATTAGGCCTAGATAAAAACTTAGTCTATGTCATCATATTTGTACACGTAAGTTGGACGGTTCAACGACGAACATTTAATTTAAAATCTATGAATTAGTTATGAAAGTTACGATGGTTGATGACTGTATTAATTAATGGTTTTGGTTCATTACGACATTACAATTAAATCTGTTTTCCGTGTTTAAGAACTTGCGTGTATTTTAGCTTAATTTCGTAGAGGTTTAATTATTTAGTACCAATTAAACTAAATTTTGAATATTTTTTATATTCTATTATTTTCTTTTATACTGATGGCATTTATATTTAAGATCGAAATCATAAACATTTAACTGGCCATTGTACAGTTTAGTAAAAAAACACTTTTTCATGATTTTTTAATTGTCTTTTAATTACTTTGGGCTAGTTATCTGTTAAAAGTGGAATTGATAACAAAAAACAATAACATTTACTGTATCTTTATAGACACTGGCATTTTGAAATACGGCAGTGTACGATTATTTTGTCGTACAAGGTTGGCAACGCTCCGAGCAGTGGGCGTGGCCGGGTTAGCGACTTCCAGAGTTAGCGAATTCCACCGCGAGACAAAATCGGGTTAGCGGGTTCCGGAGTTAGCCAATTCCTGACTGAGACGGTTAGCCAGTTCCAGAGTTAGCCAGTTCCGACACACGACCGAGTTAGCGAGTTCCTGAGTTAGCCAATTCCTACGTCTCGCCCAGTTATAACTAGCTTAAGTTACCCCCCTTGAACATTTCTCAAGATTGGATGTCAAATAAGAAAATTAGAAATTATTTTCTTTTGAACGATACGTATTGGTTGGTGCTGATTAAGTCGTGGAAAACAGAAAAATTCAAAACTTAAAAATGTCATATTTTAGGCCTAACTTAAGTTAACTAAAAAACTAAAAGAGATAGGCCTAGTCTAAAAAAATCAAAATTTTTGGGTTTACTTTTATTTATGTAGCCTAAGATTTATTTTTCATTTGCAACTTTAAGATTGAAATTAAAAATGTATGAAAAATAAAGAAAAAGGTAGGCCGGTAGGCCTGTAAATAAGAGGAGATGAATGCAAAACATGTAGCCTAGGTATGTTAAAATGTTATTCAACAATTTGGTAAGTTTTTCTCATATCAGCCTACACAAGATTTAAATTTAGGTAATCAAAACCAAAATGACGGTTTCTTAATTAATTACCTTAATTACCTCCTTCGTCACCAAGACCAGCGATGCCGGATAGGTTGTGTCAATACTATTTACATATTACTAAAAACAAAACTTTTCTCTTTAGATAAACTTTTATATGTCATGGCGGTGGATACACCCATACTTTCAAAAAAATCTTTCAGGCTAGGAATATGGCCTATCTTTTAGCCATGTCTTCAGGGCAGTGCTAAATTTAGGAGCTTCCAGGTTATTCAGTGTTGTTTATTCCACTAGACTTGCCACATTAAAAAGCCACAAATATTCTATAAAGGCCATTACGGTTAAGTTTTGTTTGTAAAAGCTTTGGCGGATGTGTGACTATTTAACTCAGATGTTAAGATCAAAATGTTTCTATTTCGTGTCCTCTTCCCATTGCAAAGCACTGGTACATCAGCTTGTAGGTAATAATTCCTTTTAAATTACCTAACTATTATTGCTCAGTTTAACAGTCACAAGCTTTGTGAGTTTTAGATTTCTGATTAGCCGATTGATTAAACTCAAAAGTAATCAAATCCATTCCACCCACTAGCCTTACTAATCAGCCGGAAACCCCACTCTGATTTGATTAAAGTCTTAAATAGCTGTTAATTTAAATTAAACACAGTAATCCAAACGGCTCTTTTAAATAAAGAAGTAGGCCTATCACTTACTATATTGGGGTTCCAATGTGTTGTGAATAATAAGAGAGACGAACCTGGCGCACGGAATCGCGTGCAATCTAGACATAGTACAAGATGAAAGATGTGTATTGATCTTTTTTATTTGGCGTTTTCGGGTTTCTTGGTTTTATTGTTAAAGGTGAAGATGGTAAAAGGTCTAATTGATTTTGCAGTTTACGTGCCTTTTTTGCAGTATTTTTTGTGAAAGCCAGTAAAATACTACCTATATTTTGATTAATCGACGATAACCTAAATGATAAGTTATACCCCCTCGTTCCCACCACCACCCCTGGCTCAAGTATGGGAATTTGCCAGGCAAATTTCCCGTAAAAATCTTCGTTCTTCTCATGCTTTGACCACCTTCAATCCTCGTCCAGACGTCTAAACCCCTAACAGCATGACTACCCTCCCCCTTATCATAATTTCTGTTATTAATAGATAGGTATAGTTATAGTTTAGAATAAGTTGGATACTTTGAATTAATTGACATTTTTACTACTTCCATCACCCTAATTTATTTATTTTGTAAACTACGGTCTGTAAAATATTATTATCTCCATTCAAAATACCAATTTATTATATACCCAATAACAGTTAAAGCTAATAACACCATCTAATAACAGTTTCAATAACGTCCATTCCCAATACAAATTGTCCATCAGTGCAATATCCTATTGTGTTGCAGGATGAATTACAGTAATTAAAGGTGAATCTACGTGCTGTACAGGTTCTGTAATTACTAGGCTGATAATATTCATGTCCATTGATTTACATCAAAATAAATAAGTTTACTTTGAAGCCTTTTATAATCCTGCTTATATTTTATATTGTTTATAATCATTGCTTACTGTACCTAATATTTGATTGCAGGTGCAGTTCAAAATTCATATTTCGAGATAGGTAAGTTATTTATGAGTAAATATTTTGTATAAGTACATGTTTATTATTTTGACCTATAATAGATAATTAATAAGGCCATAGACATAGTAGGCTATAAATTAGTAACCTAGACGGTAATACAAACTAAAAAGAAACAAGTACATTTTAGGGTGCTATTCTTGATTCAATTTTCTTTATTCATTTGTAAGGGATTTTTTATCTTCCGAGCTTTTATGTTCCATAAACTGACTGTGTGGCTGTGTTAAGCTATGAACTCTCGTATCAAAACCTTATATATGGTTTGACATTCTTAGGGATTCTTTATTTACTTTCTCACTCAAATAATAACTAGTTATAGAGGACTATTTATTCAAACGACAACTTAATATTCCAATACTAACCCTAATCATTTCTGAAAAAAGTCTTGCAATGCACCATGCTCAAATTTGTTCAAGTTTTATTTGCTCGTAATATAATAGTACGCTTCTTTTGCTCGTTATATTTTAATTTAGGCTATATGGAAATACTTAATTTTAAAATCAATTTTTAATGTGCAGAAATCCTGCCAACATTTCATTGGACAAACAAAAGATTTCCCTAGCAACTGACACATCCGCCAAACTAGTTACCTATGATCATTTTAAAAGTTTGATGATTGAAAAGTATGAAGGCATCGTGTCAAGGGATACTTATCAATACGAACCTTGGGGCCTAATTAACCGAATTGCAAAGTAAAAAGGAAATAACCTTCACATACCAGGCTGTATATCACTGATATGGAGTTGCAGCATCATAAAGTGTGTAACAGTGGTAATAACTCAGTGGTGTTGGTGTGTGTTGTAGCAGGTTGTAGTTGCACCCAACACCCATCGTATGAAACGGCAACACAAGAATAGGTTTAAACGATTTTAATTTTTTTTTTCTTTCTAATTAAGGAAATGAAATGTTTAATAAATGTTCCAGTTTCTTTACACCTTAATAAAGTAAGGATCTAAAGTTCCATTAATAACAACTAACTATTATAAACAATTGTCATTTAACTAAACAGGTTTATTTTAGGCAATCCAATAGTATATTAATTGCCCTTACCCACGGTCCTAGATAACAATTATTAAGACGACAGATAAAAAGGGTTATTTTATGTGACCCTATTTGTCCCTTACACAATAAGGTCTCAACTGCTTTGTTAAGAATTTGACTAATTGTCCTAACTGAACTTATGGGTGGTTGATGCGATCGTACAGCTCTAAATGTTTGACAACATTTGAAATTTGGAAAACGTAACTATCTTCTAACAACATAAATCTAAAGATACACAGTAGATTAAATAACACAATCACTCTCTCCAACACCCTGCAAAACAATGCTAGGGTCTGGGGTAAATACCCATTTATAAATACCCTACCCTCTGGGTATTTACCCGGCTCACATCACTACCGGGGCCAGATCTCGCAATGAGACCTACGGTTGAGCTTATTTCTTATATGTTAAATTACAACCTTTCAATGGATGGGAATAATTTGAAATTGGCAGCTGTAGAAACTGAGGTATTCAGAGTTATAAGCTGTCGGGATTTGTTCCCTTTGATGTGGCAGGGGCGCTAGGGTCCAATTAAGGTTTTGAGTAATTCCCTTTTGGGCTTAGCCACCGCTCGGACCCGTAAGCTCAGTAGCCATTACTTATAAGATACACTGATGATAAAATTCGTAAATCATTAACCTTAAATAAAAAATCTTAGTTAGTATTATAATACAAATATATTATAATACTAAGACTTATTTACTAAAAAGCCTATTTACTTTTATTTTATTGGTGACTATTTCAGTCAAAACGAGTGCAGAACTTATAAAAAAAGAATTGTAATTTCACAGTAGACCTATGTTTGTTGTGAAATATCATTTTTTTACGATTGGTAAATACAAAAAATGTGTGACATGCTGAAAAATTATGACCAAATACTTGATTTGGTGGATATCGCAGGGCGGTCACATTCATATGGTGTGTGAGTGTGTACACAGTACACAGCCCCAACTGATTATTGCTCAGCCTGTCGGAGATGCGGATCCTTTTGATCATATGAGTTTCCGGTCTGACTGCTCTTGCTGATTTATCAAGAACTTAATAATTTCAGAATTTACGATTTTCCATGTTTAGTAAATTTTAACCATTTTGTTTTACTGTAATATTTAAAACGTGGGGGCCCGTGTGTGAATTGCACAGTTTAATATGGTCCAAAACTTGTTTCCGAGGCAAAATGAATTCAGTGTAATAAGAATTTAAAAAAAAAATTATGTTTGTATAGAACAGTCATTAGGCCAATAGAACTACTAACTTACAATACATTTTTTGATTTTAGATCTACACTATTTAAAAATTGATTTAACTACCTCAATTTCATAAACTGTTTAGTACAGAACTACTAACTTAAAATACATTTTTGGATTTTAGATCTACACTATTTAAAAATTGATTTAACTACCTCAATTTCATAAACTGTTTAGTATAGAACTACTAACTTACAATACATTTTTTGATTTTAGATCTACACTATTTAAAAATTGATTTAACTACCTCAATTTCATAAACTGTTTAGTACAGAACTACTAACTTAAAATACATTTTTGGATTTTAGATCTACACTATTTAAAAATTGATTTAACTACCTCAATTTCATAAACTGTTTAGTATAGAACTACTAACTTAAAATACATTTTTGGATTTTAGATCTACACTATTTAAAAATTGATTTAACTACCTCAATTTCATAAACTGTTTAGTATAGAACTACTAACTTACAATACATTTTTGGATTTTAGATCTACACTATTTAAAAATTGATTTAACTACCTCAATTTCATAAACTGTTTAGTATCTTGTATACAATCTGACAATGGTTGAACATTCAACTGAAGTTGTTAAATTACAATTCTAAACAGTTTAACAGTTGTAAAGAAAGTTGGTCAGCATAACTCTATCTTTGAAAATATACAATAGGCCTACAATTAAATACAACGTGAAAGGGTCAAAGACCTAAATAAATTACGATTCGCGGGTGCGCTAGATCAAATTACAGTATTTGATTCACACCACAATCGTAAAAATCTGTTAATTAGTACAACTGGAAAAGGTATGTTACAGAGAAACCCCTTATTATTTTAAGTATATAAACTCTGTTTATGGGCGTTGTTAAGTCAATAAAACCACCTCGTCTGCAAAAATCGCTAACTACAAATAAATTTCACTTTATTGATCCCCTAAACTTTGTAAAAGAGATTTCTCAATTACAGTGAAAGTTCTCGACTTATAATTCCTATAATTAATTTGATACAAACAATGGGATATTGTATGGAGTTAGTGGAACAAGTGATGCTTTCTTAGTAAAATTGATGTAGATGCCTGTTTACACACGAAGGTAATTATCTGCAACTCCGCGTTGTTTTGCCTCACACTATTGCTAGCGATGGCTATGTTTACTACATTGCAGGTATGCATCCTATTACACTAAGTAGATAGCCGGTAATGCTACTGTATGCAATTGGGAGAAGCTATGCACATAATACACGCAATTTACAATGAATCATTTGTTTGAATACAATTGTATATGATCTAGTTTTCTAGTTTATTGGTATAAGGTCATCCGACGAATCCGATTTATCGCCTTATGGTTTATTTACAAATATTTTATCATTTAGAAAAGATTAAACACAACCCACGATTACATGCACTGTATGTAAAGGACTGCATAAAACATACACTTATTCTTATACAGTATTTTTCATGAACATACTAGATTATTCATATTATTTTAGAGAGCTTGGAAAACGTTGGGGAATTTTACACAATTATAATTGTATTGCAAGTATAAACTCAATTGCTTTTCAACGAAAATTTTTCATGTTAAATGCTACAAATGACAAAATGACAAAAAATTAAACCAAATATAGTTTTGTTTAATAATTATATAATATGGGTCATTCATTTGTCTAGTTAAAAATTGTATATAGCACTCGTTCACTGCATTAAATCTTTTCTGTAGTTTCGTTAACGAATTTTTCTAAACATAGTTTACACCCGTCTGATTTTCTACTTTCTTTACATAGTCTTGTTTTTGAGAGAAATATCAAAGCTGCAGTGGTTGAAGCCAATAGATATATTGCTGACACAGGTTTTCAAACATTCTACCCGTAGGCGCTATATTTGTACCTTTTTGAACACATCTTAAGCGAGCAATTCTGTTTATATTTTATTACGTAGATATAAACATTAAATTATTATATAATTTCAGTACATCTACAAAAAAACATTCTTAGTAAATATGTACTTGCGAAGTCAGTGGTAAAAACAAATGTTATTCCAATAATTTCAAAATGACCATCCATATTACCTGAAAACGAAATAAATAGCAATGGCGTTACTAGACACATTAATAATTCGAGATAAAATACAGTAGGCCTAGTGTTTGTTTGAGTTCGTGTTATATAATTTGAGAAATTATTGGGTCTTAAGGGCTGTGTCACCCGACAAATTATTTTTACTATATTTTTAAGTGTATTAACATACAGGATTAGAAGTGAAGTAAAATATTTTCTTAAACTGAAGGAGGGCAGTGGTATTTTCAATGGAGAATGGTTGAGAACATAAGAAATTAAGTAGTTAAAAGCTGATACAAAAACATTGTCGATAGATAGCGTCGCGGAAGGAAGTTACTGATATCTTATTGGTAACCTTCCGGCGTCTCATTTTATAAAATATCTTAAAATATAAAAGTTGTCAAGGCCGGTTTTACCATTTTGGCGCTCCTAAGCCCAATAATCTTTCCGCCCTCTAGTCCGGTTAAAGTTACTTTCCTACAAACCTTTATAAAAAAATATCAGGCCGATGTTAATTGTTTTAACACCACTCGAAAATAAAATTTTATCATTGCAAGTTTTTTGAGGAATTTTCTTGGTTAAATTCCTTAAATGCCTTGTTAAACATTTCAGCAATATTGTGTAGTGAACTTAAGTTTGTGGGACTGAAAC